GTACATGGACCCTCTGGGTAAGCTATTAACCTAAGCCCTCAACACGAGATCCTTGAACTCGTAAGCCAAGACCCTAACGGTTTAGGGTTTAGGGTTTAGGGTTTCCTAATCCTTGAACCCCGAATCCTGACTCTGAATCGTAGCCTAATTAAAGCCTGAACGGCAACTGTACTACAGGGGCCCAGCAAGCCCACCCCTTACTTGAGAGTTATTTGGGGCCTAAAATCAGGGCTCCCTCTCATAAGGGTTATAGTGTTTGGGGGTTCCCTGGTTACATTGGGGGCCCCTATTTGTGGAGACTACTGGGATTATGTGTTATTTGGCTTCATAAAAGCCACCGTACTGCTGGGAAGAAACCCTAACCCTGGAACTGAGGTTCTGTGCTGCGAGCTTCAGTCGTGGCAATCTGCAAGTCCTCCGCATGTGGCAACGCAACATTTAAGGGCTGAAAATTAAACTACGGTCTTGGGCTATACTAGTATACCATAAATATATGAGAAGTATAGTACAGTTTACTGCCAATTCCTCCTGCAAACTTCTACATTAGTATGGATTGTAAATCCCCAAGCCCTGAACCCTAAACCCTAAACCCCTTTGGGCAAAGCCAATGAGAAACCCTTTCAGGGATCAGGACTGTGCGTTTAGGCAGTGCTGTTGCGCAGCAGAAAGCCTTGAATGGCATCGATGCCTCATCTGTTTTCCAGCCGTCCCCTAAACCCCAAACCCTAAATACTGAACTCTGAACTGCGGAGCCTGAACCCTCAACTCTATATATCCTAAACCTTGCATGCTAAACCCTGGAACCCCCCGGACGCACCATTGCGGGGCCAGAACGAAAGTTGATGTTTTGGATCAGTTCCTCATTGGAACAATCGTACACATGGAGCAAAACCATGCGCAAATCATTGGATGGCATCTCAGCCTCCCAGGATCTGATCTCATCCCTACCACAGCGCTGGCAACAGCGGGCCATGTGCTGATAGGGGGTTATATAGTGGCTATGTAGGGGTTATCTGGGGATAATGGAACAGAAAATGGAAACTACTATATCATATTAGGGTGTATTATAGGTATTGACCCACTTCGGAGCGGAAGCCCCTAAACCCCGTGAGTCACAACAGCATCTCTAAAGGGCTAGTACTATTAGTTCTAGTATCAATATTATATGTATGACTATTAGATAGTAGTTGCCAGGTTCTTTTCCATTATCCCTATATAAGCCCTATATAGCCCCCCTAAACCCTGGATTGCTAGGGCGTGTTAAGGCGGCTACATGACTTTATGGAGTCTAAGCCGTGGATCCTAGAAACGTCCAGCCCTTCAAACTAAAGATGCGCTCGCTTGCGGAAGCCATGGACAGTGTAACTGATTGGAGGCAGCAAGGTAGTCCTTTGGAATTGAGGAAAGTGCATGCGATCATCAAGCATTACGCAGCGCAGCAACACTGCCATGACTAGGGCTTAGGGAAACCATCAAACTCAAACACACATGTTGCAAGTACTGGCATTGATCGTCCAACTTGGGTCTTGAGTCTACTCGTGCTGGCGCCGTAGTCGATATTGTTGGACCTTTATGTATAGATACCACCGTATGTAAGACCTCCCTTTCCTACCAAACAAGAGAAAGGGTTGGTGGAGTGAGAATGGGAGCAAGCTGCAGGAGTAAGCTTTATCTGCCCTGGAACCCTTGCAAAATAATCCGTGCGGCTTAGGGTTTAGAGGTTAGGGTTTAGGGTTTGGCTTTACAATGAGCAGAAGTCAAAACCCGTTCTCAGGACATCTAGTATGAACAATCATATCAAGCACGTTCTGGCCGAGCTCTGATGCATCTAGCAAAGCAAGCGTATGGAGGCCTGTGTGGGTCCAGTCTCACCTGTTGTATACTGATCAGCATGGTGCCATCCATTATTGGAGTTCTGAGCCGGTAAACGCAAACCTCCAAGCAATAGCTGCTAGCTCAACGCTCGGAAAGCTGTTCCCGCACAACTTCAATACTCTAGGCGCCTAAATATCTATACAAAAATGTCATGTTGAAGTCTATTTGAAGTATTTAATGCCCTACTAGTAAACCGAACCTAGGAAAATAATGTTGGTAACTATTGAAGCCCGTACAGTCACCCTAAACCCTGAATCCCAAAGTCTATGTCGGATCCTGGTCTGTGTACATCGCCTGCCTCCCAACGGTTCCCGGTGCCTGGCTCTCTCTCCCTCAGGGCTGCAGGTATGTAGGGATAAATTTGGAAAATTTAGGGTTTAGGTTATAGAGACTCCCGAAAACATAGATGCAACATCAGAAGGATCAAGATAGAACACATTTTGAGAGTGGCCGTGTCATGTTCCATGACCGTTATAAGTATAGGCTGACGAGGAGAATCTATGTTCTCCACTGCCTGCACTGAAACATGCATGTGACAAGATCGAAAGACAAATATCCGTCCATGCCGCTGAAATTACATACTTGTTCAAATCAAGGCTGTGCCCTTGTCGGACCCGTATGCTTCCCTATACGGGATGTTCCCAGAATAGAATACCCCTCAGGACGCGAAGGTAAATGGGCATCACGAGATGATTTCCGGGATTCGTATACGGGCTAAGGACTTTTGGCGCCAACAGCTCCCCGGTGGAAACCGATTCATAGAACACTCAGCACTCTCAAGCTCACCCAAGCCCTGGTAATCCTAAGTCCAGAACCCACAACCCGCAACAAAAACGAAACTCTCAAGTCGGGACCCCGGCGGCCTTGAGCCCCAAACCCTATAAACCCCTTAAAGAATGTAGAGTGAGGGTTCGGGACCAAGACTCTGAAGGTCCAGGCAAACCCCAAACCCTAAACCTGACGGCGTTACTAGGCTTCTGCATGACCCCTATAACCTCTACCCTAGACCCTACACCCTGAGTCCTTAATCTTAAGCAAACCCCAAATCCCAATGCCTAAGCTTTGCACCCTAAATCCTAAACCCTTCCTAAACCCTAAACCCGTAACCCTTAACCCTAATCCCTTAAACCCTCAACGCAACAAAGTCAGAGGATGCCTGGGACGGCTTCTCCACTTCTGGGGGTGGGGCGGCCACTAGGACGGCTTGCCTTGAGGTTTAGGGTTTAGGATTTGGGGTTCAGGGTTTAGGGTTTAGGATTAGGGGCTTAGGGTTTAGGGTTAAGGTGTAAGGGGTTCAGGGTTTAGGGTTAAGGACTGGNNAGGGCTTAGGATTTAGGGTTGGGTGGCCTGGTCCAAGGGTCTGGTCTGAGGTCTTGCAGAGCTAGCACTTGGGGATTTGGCTTCCAAGTCCAGGTATACCCCCAAAATGCGATCATCCCTAAACCCTAAAAGGGGATACCTACTCTTTGGCAACCCCACCTTTTGAAGGCTCAGGATGCTGTAGGTTCAGTTTCAGGCTTGAGGCAAAGGACGTGAGGTGTTAGGGTGTAGGGTTTCAGGGGGTTTAGGGTTT